TTTTTTTTTTTTTTTTTTTTTGAGACAGGTTGTCACCCTGTTGCCCGCACTGCAGTGCAGTGGTGTGATCATGGCTCACTGCAGCCTTGTCCCCCACCTCCCCCAAGTGATCCTCCAACCTCAGCCTTCCAAGTAGCCGGGACCACAGGCACACACCACCATGCCTGGCTTATATATATGTATATATACACACACACACACGTGTGTGTATATATATGTGTATATGTGTGCATATATATATATTTTTTAAGATGGAGTTTGCTTGGTCGCACAGGCTGGAGTGCAGTGGCATGTTCTGGGCTCAGTGCAAACTCGGCCTCCCAGGTTCAAGTGATTCTCCTGCTTCAGCCTGGCAAGTAGCTGGGATTACAGGTGCCTGCCACCATGTCCAGCTAATTCTTGTATTTTTAGTAGAGACAGGGTTTCACCATGTTGGCCAGGCTGGTCTGGAACTCCTGACCTCAGGTTATCCACCCACCTCAACCTCCCAAAGTGCTCGGACTGCAGACGTGAGCCACCGTGCCTGGCCTTTTTTTTCTTCTTCTTCCCTGAGACGAAGTCTTGCTCTGTCACCCAGGCTGGAGTGCAGTGGCGCGATGATGGCCCACCGCAACCTCCGTCTTCCAGGTTCAACCAGTTCTCCTGCCTCAGCCTCCTGAGAAGCTGGGATTACAGGCGTGTGCCACCATGCCCAGCTAGTTTTTGTATCTTTAGTAGAGACCAGGTTTTTTCACCACGTTGGCCAGGGTGGTCTTGAACTCCTAATCTCATGATCCACTTGGCTCGGCCTCCCAAAGTGCTGGGATTACAGGCATGAGCCACGGTGCCCCAACTGGCTTCAAACACCTAGGCTTGAGCAGTCCTCTACCATGGCCTCCCAAAGTGCTGGGATTGCTGGTGTGAGCCATCACACCTGGCCATATTATTTGGAAACTTTTTTTTTTTTTTTTGGGACTAAGTCTTGCTCTGTCACCCAGGCTGGAGTGCAGTGGTGCGATCTCAGCTCACTGAAACCTCTGCTTCCTGGGTTCAAGCAATTCTTCTGCCTCAGCCTCCTCAGTAGCTGGGATAACAGGCGTGCACCACTATGTCTGGCTAATTTTTGTGTTTTTTTAGTAGAGACAGGGTTTCACCATGTTGGTCAGGCTGGTCTCGAACCCTTGACCTCATGATCTGCCCGCCTTGGCTTCCCAAAGTGCTGAGATTACAGGTGTGAGCCACTTTCCCCAGCCTATTTGGAAACACTTAATTCAAATTTAGCTGTTTATTTCACTTGGGATTTTCTTTTTTTCTTTCTTTGAGACAAAGTCTCACTCTGTCGCCAGGCTGGAATGCAGTGGCACGATCTTGGCTCACTGCAGCTCTGCCTCCTGGGTTCAAACGATTCTCCTGCCTCAGCCTTCTGAGTATGAGTAGCTAGGGCTACAGACTCGCGCCACCATGCCCAGCTAATTTTTGTATTTTTAGTAGAGACAGGGTTTCACTATGTTGGCCAGGATGGTCTCAATTTCTTTACCTCGTGATCTGCCCACCTTGGCCTCCCAAAGTGCTGGGATTACAGGTGTGAGCCATTCATTATGCCTGGCCTGGGATTTGCTTTTTTTTTTTTTTTTTGTCTCTCTCTAGACATAGGTTCTACTCTACCTTTGCTCGAAGCTTGACAGTTCATTTTGTAATTTAGGGTGAAAAGATGCCATCTAACAAAGTATTCCATTATTTGACTAAAAAAACTGTTTCATTGCTCTGCTTCTAGGATTTTCTTT